CTGTAACTGTAACTGTAAATATCCAATAAAAATTTTTGATTCGTCAAACTGCTGAACATTGCAATATCCATTCCAAGCGCACGCTACTGAAAAATTGAAATTCCCGAATCAGACCCTAATCTACAGTATCAGATGCCAGGCCCATACTGTAAGATACGGTCTTCCGAAGCCGAAAATTTTACAAGTCCGAAATCTCGAAAACCAAAACTCTTATCGAAATTCGGTCCGTACAGTTTTCCGATCTTCGATTATGGAAAATAATCGCATCGATCCGCGGCGGATCGGACGAGGGTGATTTTCCGAAAAATTTTCAATTTTACCGGATCAGACCCTAATCTACAGTATCCGATACCGACACATATTGCAAGATACGGTCTCTCGAAAGCGAATAATTTTACAAATCCGAAAATCCGAATTTTTTTTGCACAATCCGGCAACAATATACGGAAAAATCAACTAATTTCTTGCCCCATCTGGCAACACTGTAAAATGCAATGTTGCAAAATTTCACCAAAAAATAAATCATTTATTTACATGCACCACGCGGCAACGCTGCTGCGCCATCTTGAAAAATACACCATTGCATAACCCGAAAAATGAAGGGGCATTAATACACGATTGCATAACCCGCATGTTTAAGGGGCAACATGCAATACTTCCTTTTTACAGCGTTGCCATATTGAACAATAATCCCTATACAACGCTGTAATTTAATTCCTATTTTTCTGCACAATCATGCAACGCTGTTGGATAATTTACTGGCCTAAGATTCCCATTTTCTCCCTACTCTCAGGTGACGTTGAAGAAAGTTTTCAAACCGTTGACAGATCCGCTCACAGCGTTGCAGAAAACTGTGTCGTCGTCAACTCCCGCACTTGTCGCTGCTCCTCAGGAAAAGAAAACCAAGATCGAACCTTCAAAATCGGTAACGAAAGATAAAACAATGTTTGTTGATAGTTTATTTGCTTCGTTCGGATCACCAAAGAATATGAATAATGATGATAATGATGTTGACTCAAAGGAGGAGGAGGATGATGATGATGATGATGATGATGGTGAATCGTTCCAAGACGCAACGGATAAAGAACGAACATCGGGTCGCACTGAAGACGACGTCGATTCTCGAGACACGAACACTGCCCCGAACGTACAGTTCTATTTGGACGATCTGGAGAAACATCCGAAACAGTCCGATACCGCGTATGATGTGCGGAAAGCAATCAACGGAAACTTTCTAATCGGAAACCGAACCATTACTTTCGATTCGGACGGACGACTAACCTTGGACGGTGGCGATGAGGTGTTCGAACCAACACCCGGGTTCTTGGAGCTCCTTTTTAAGAAACATCCGCGTAATTACACAGCAGATGATCGCGCTAAATTCCAACGAGTAGTTACGCTCACCAATACGCATCGTTGGGATAATCATCCACACGGTAGACCCAAGTCGAACCGCAGTCGTAAATACCACGATTTCATCAAACCTTTGTTTGCTACATTGACTCCGAGATCAACGAGGAAGTCACCACGTAAAAAACTGAAGAAAGGCTCCGGTATCAAAATCCATTGTGCGAAACGGAAACTCGTCCATTGGGACGATCCGAACGAGTTAGTCCAACGTCTCGTTTTACTTGTAGCTTCGAAACAAGCTGGTCACACCGATCACGATCGTGAAATTCTGAGTATCGTCGAAGAGCTTCGCGAAGCGGATTACATCCACTAAATATAGGTTATAGGTCCACAAAAAAAAATGAGTCACACCGACCGGTTTGGAAGATCGAAAGGGACTTACGTTCGCAACACGAAGCAAGGTCTCAAAGGTGACGGTTTCTTATTGGATCCCGACGGGAATTATCTTGTATCCAACAAACGGATCCGACAACTGCAAGATCCCGAAGAGGATACCGACGCCGTGAACAAAGAATGGACAGACTCGAAGTGGACAGAAGCTATGAATTTAGCACAGCTTTGTTTGGAGAATATGGAAGAATACAAAAGTATCACGCAACGACTCGAGACGAAATTATCACGATTGGAAAAATGGATCAGTCAATTAGGGGTTGTGAATCGAACAAAAGGAAAATAGTGTTGCGATGAGTCACACCGACGGTTTTGGCCGATCGAAATTCCGCCGCGGTCCAAAAGGTGACGGATTCTCACTGGATTCCGACGGAAATCATATCGTATCGAACAAACGGATTCGTCAAGTGCAAGATCCCGAAAGCTATGAGGATGCGGTGAACACACAATGGTCCGAACGGAAGTGGAAGGAAGCTATGAAATTAGGTCAACACCTCGTATCCACCAACTTCAGCAATCTTAGAATCGTCTGGTTAAAATAGTAGCATCGAAACAGCATTTGAATCGAGAGAGTGGACGACGACGACGTCGACGGTAATTATCATGTCGGCAGAAAAACGTGGGAGCGTCGAGGAGCTACATAAACCTGCACGACGAAACTATCCGAATCTTAAAGTACGGATTCTCGGATTGTTCGATTTATGGCAAGCCCATCTCGTCGAGATGCAACCGTACGCCTCGGTCAACAAAGGATACGGATATCTCCTCACCGTCATCCACGCCTGCTCGAAAAAGGCGTGGGCCGAACCGCTCAAATCGAAAACGGCCACGAATGTCACTTATACCATGCAACGCGTTCTCAAAGCAGCCGGAAAGTCACCGAATCATTTACAGGTCGATATGGGCTCGGAATTCTACAACTCCAAATGTCAAGCATTGATGAAGCGTCACCAGATCAATATGCACAGCTCGTACTTGACAACCAAAGCCTCTATTGTCGAGCGATTCAACCGAACACTTAAAGCGAAGATGTGGAAAGAGTTCAGCGCGCAAGGATCGTACAAGTGGGTAGATCTATTACCGAAACTCATCCGTGAATATAACGGGAGCGTTCATCGCACCATCGGGGTGAAACCAATTGATGTCACCGGAAAGGATGTACCGAAGATCCTGCAAAAGATTCGTGGGCCGCCGCTAAGTAAAACCGAAAAGAGACGTCTGGCCAGACGAAAACTGAATGTCGGTGATCACGTCCGGATCTCGAGACTCAAAGCCATGTTCGAGAAAGGATACACACCGCATTGAAGCACGGAAATTTTCAAGATTGTCAGCGTCCATCCGACCGTTCCGATCACGTACGATCTGAAAGACATGCACGATACGATCATCCAAGGAAAATTCTATCGCGAAGAACTCCAACCCACCAACTATAAGGATACGTTCCTGGTGGAGAAAATTCTGCGTCACAAGAAAAATCAGGCCTTTGTCAAATGGTTGGGTCTGGACGCGAGTCGCAACAGTTGGATCGATAGTATGGATTTCGTATAAATAGTATACAAAACTGTACCAGTAAATTTCCATCAAAGAAAAAACAATTTTTTTTTTGATTCATCAAACTGAACATTGCAATATCCAATCCCAGTCGCTCATCCCAAAACATAAGGTTCTGATACGCATCTCCAAGCGCACACTACTAAAAATTGAAATTCCCGAATCAGACCCTACTCTCCAGTCTCCGATACCAGACCCATACTGGAGGAGACGGTCTTTCGAAGCCGAAAATTTTTACAAGTCCGAAAATCCAATTTTTTTGCACAATCTGACATCATTTTATCGAAAAAAAACCTAATTTCTTGCACCATCTGGCAACACATTAAAATCCAACGTTGCAAAATTTCACCCATAAATAAATAATTTATTTAAGTGCACCGCCCGACAACACTGCTGCATAACCGCCATCTTGAAGAATACACCATTGCATAACCCGCATATTGAAGGGGCTACATTACACCATTGCATAACCCGCATATTGAAGGGGCTACATTACACCATTGCATAACCCGCATATTGAAGGGGCTACATTACACCATTGCATAACCCGTATATTAAAGGGGCAACATACAATCCTCTTTTTTTTACAGGGTTGCCATATTGAATAATACTAGCCATACAATACTGTAATTTAATTCGAATTTTTCTGCACCATCGTGCAACGCTGTTGGATAATTTACTGTACTAAAGTCCTCATTTTCATACTACTCGCGCGACGTGGTGGATTTTTTCAGAACTACAGCTGAAGATTAACCCTAATAATTTTGAAAGCTTGAAAAAAGTGTTAAACGTAAGTTCAATTCTAGAATCAATACCTGAAATTTTTTCTTAAAGTAATGAGTGTTGTAAACTACGAACTATTTTTCTTCCGCAATTCAAACTATGCGCGGGAAATTTCTTAGAGTAGAGTCAACTTTCACCGAAATTTTCTCCCAGAACCTGTGGGATAGGAGGGTCGAGACTTTACAAATATTTTAAGGAACCTACCTAGAAAATTTAGAAAAATTTTCATGTCATTTGTAATCCGTTAACATCCAAAAACCCCGTTTTGGAAAAGTCGTACTCCCCCATTTAAATACACGGTAATTTAAAATTAATACACGGAGTACCTGCTCATAGAATATAGGGACCCTACTTAGAACGACACTTCGGACGAAATGTTTACCTGAGCCGTAGTATCGTTTTTGAAGCGGGAAGCTAAAAAAAAATGCAAATTTCTCACGCAGATTGTGAAGTAAGGAATGCTTCTCCAACTTTACCAATGTGATCATCCTGATTTTTGAGACATTTACTGAATGAGACAACTCTTATTTTTGCTCTGGTAAAAGTTTGCAAAGGCCCATCACTTTACTTTTTTCGCGCAAGTAAGGGACAGATAACCCATGTCGAAGCTACTAGAAAATTGTTTTATCCTCACTAAGCTCCTCCATTCCCTACCCTAAAATACAGACATTCGGGAGGTGGGAGAGTTATGTGAAGTCGTTGGAGGGAGGAGGGAGGAGGGAGGAACAAAAAAAAATTGATGTCGGTGTACTTCCTCTGCCAAGCTAGGGGATTTTTACTTTTTTTAAAATTTTTATTTTACTTTTATTTTATGTTACAGCGAGGCTGAAGCAAGTATTTAACCCATAAGTTTCCGTTTGTTTCAGTACTTTTCGGAATATTGTGCCACAGAACATAGCAGGCTGTTGAATGTTTGGCGGGATATCGTATCATTTAAAAGGCAGTTCACTGAAATACAAGTTGCAACAGAGAGAGATTTAGTGAAACTACGAAATGACATTGTATCCAGTAATAGGGAACTGGTGGGCACTTGTTCATCTATAGTCACATCAACACGTCTCTCTGCTGTCAGTGGGGTATGCTAATTTTTCTCTTACATTACATTACTATCTATTCTATCTTCTATATATTTAATATCCTAAGGCTTTTTTTTTGTCCTTCTTCAGTTAGTGCTAATTCGATCTCGGAAACTACTGGACCGATTTTCCTCGGATTTGTTTTAAATGAAAGCTCTTAGGCTGTAGATGTGCCAACATCCCTTGGTTTTTCGATTTGCGCGACCGATGTTGCAAAATTTACCTCGATTTGATAACGAAATATTTGCATATTTGCCGCTGGACGAGTTATATGGTTGGGGGACCTCCCACCCTCTGATTTTCCGTTTCCCTCTCCACGTAAACCCATCCCTACCTGCCGTTAACACGTGTCACCCATCTACTCTGGCACGGGTCCCGTGGCAGTATACCTCCTTTCCTTATGCTGCCTGACTCGGAACACCTGCTACGCATTTCCTCCGTCGCATTGCTCATAATCAGTTCTCGGTTTGTCCAGGTTTCTTATTAGTGCGTCTAGAGTTTTGCTTTCTGGATTTTGTCTTTAGTTTTTTTTTTGTACATGAAAATTACTTAATTTTGATGTTTCTTTTTCAGAAGATAATTTTCCTTTTTACGGCAGCACAGGTTTTATTAATAATTAACTTTTGTCAGCAGCTCATGTGTTCTTCCAAGCCCGTGTAACATTTTTCTTCTATACTTTTTTTTTCTTCTACACCGTTTGACCATGTAGCAGATAAAGATGTTCTAAAATGGGTTTACGGTAGAGGCAGAGCAAGTTCTTCTACATTACTTCTGCAATAGATGAAAGGCTACTGGTGAATCTTCTAATGCAGAAGAAAATTAGAGCCGAAATAGAAGATCGCTGTCTCAAGGTCATCCGGAGGAATCCGGGGCTTCTCAGCGATATCGTAGAAGATAAAAACGATGTTGTCAGAAGAAAAGTAGCAGCTAAATCTTCTTCTACAATACATTGGAGTAATGGGCAATAATAGAAGAAAAAATATCAGATAAACTCGGTCTACACCCGGGTTTTTACTTCTAAATTTCGGTATACAGTGGCAAAAATAGAAGAAAAATGTTACACGGGAGAGAATCGGTAATTAATCTTCACCCTTTTGCACCGTTAAATCTTCACAAAGTGTTTTGATTTTTTTCCCAGGAGTGTTATTTATTTTTCAAGGATGTTTCTTTTTCTAGAAGTAGGTGTTTATCATTATTAGTTTCTTATTCTTTGTTTTTGAATTTATCAATTTTCTTTCAGGAAGTCCACTAATTATTCATAGCAGCAATATTTGGCTCGCGAAGCGAGCCAACATTCACTCGCGGAGCGAGTGACTGGGGGTCCAGGCTGGGGGCGAAGCCACCGGCTAGCGGCGCAAGCGAGCATAGCGAGCTGAAGCAGCTAGTTCCCATTCTTCAGCTTCATCTCATCTAATTGGGGAAGAAACAATACCGCCTCAGTGGAATTCTAATACTGTCACAGACTTGTGAAAAAATGTTATTTTGGTCATTTTGTGGGAGGAACGGATGATCAGTGAATCCTAAGATTATTGAAGTATTTCTATCATAGTCATATCACTCTCTTTGAAAAAACATTCAGTCGCCTCTTCCACATGGCAAGATGCCAACAAATGGTTGCCAAAAATGTGAGGCCATCATTATCTAGGTTACATCCCCCTTCACGTAGAATGAGAACCCATGTACCTCTATGACTACTGTTTTGAGTGCAGTTCATAAAATTCACTTTACCAATTTTATGTTTTTTTCTTTGCCTCATCCGTCCTTTTAATGCTGACTATAATTACTATTTCCCTCCTCTGCCATGTTCTCCGAAGATTCCATGAAAAGTATGATAAATCAGTCGAGTGGGTGAGAGTTACTTTAAGAAATATGCAGAATCATTCATCATTTATGTTGAGTGGTATGATTGAGTTGATCATTATCATGACGAGTTCATAATCACGAGGCAAAATATATTGTATTGCTGAAAAAAAAAAATTCTCGTCAAAAAAAAATCCTTGTAAACATTTTGTTTCGGAGGTGTTTGAATATTCTTGCTTTTTTACCAAGACAGCGTATCAGACTAGGAAAAGGCGAATTTGTTTCTTCTCTTTCTTGACAGATATCTAAAAAGTCAATGAGAATTCAATTATCAATGAAGTTTAAAACTTCTGCAACAACACATGTACGCAAATTTTAATTTTTTTTTTAAGTGTGTTACATCCGTATGTGCTGATCTTGTTCCTAGAATTTTCAACAAAAATTCCAGTGTGTTTCGATGAGTGATTGTCTTGCTCCATCTATTTAATATCATGTGTAGCTTTCTTAACCACATCGTGTTTGATTGAATGGATGAATTATTGAAAATGAGTTGAACTGAATGTTTTTCAGAAGAAGTCACACTGAATGTTAGTCATTTAATTTATAGGAAAAACAGCAACAACATCTGACGGTGGAAAATTCTGAATTGAGGTCAAAATTAACTTCGATTCGTTCAGAAAATGAAGCCCTAATGAACGAATTAAAAGTAAAAGAAGAAAGAGTTCAGCAACTTCTGCGGGAAATGAGCTCGCTCGTAAGTAGCCATCACAATGTTTACCTATATAACACCTAGCAAATTTTTCCAGCAAATCTTCCAGCAAATTTTTTAAAAATGTATTTTTCCAGAGAGAGGAGTCAGCTGTTTGAGGAGAGGCCACACCCTTATATCGCATCCTTTTACACCATGAATAGATTTCTCTTTTTTTCCATGTTCTGTAAAATCAATACAAAATTTAATAGAAAAGCGAAAAGTTAGTCATGTACATGCGTACATTGGTTCAGTGTCGACCTCACAAGATTATTTTTTCTGTCAATTTTTTTTTTTAAATTTGTATTGCAATTTTCAAGATTTAGTCAAAATACATTCTTCAGCTGTTCCTTCTTAAATATAGGCCCTACTGTAGAGGTCACCTAAATCTTATACAAAAATTTCAAGGATAGAAATGGAGAAATTAATAGTTTAAAAAGTATAGGTATGATCCAAATAGCCCGTTGCCTTCAATCCGAAAATTGTTAAAACCCTGCACTTTTTGATTGGAATATGCCGCTTTCAGGGCTCATTGGTAGTGCATTCAGGAGTAATTCCGGAAGGGGCAACATTCTGAGACCCGCGACTGGAGCCAGATGGCGGCCGTTAAAGTCCGTCATTTTGTTTTTTTTCAAAGCGCGGTACGTTGAATACTAGGTATCGATCCGATTTTGAACAATTTTTTTTTTCCAATGATACGTACTTTCTTGGAGAATAAGTTTATTCATTACCCATTTTTCTGTTGGACTTATATTTTCTTTAAAATTGGGAAAAATAAAAAGGAGTGGTATCGATTAGGGCCGATTTTGGTCCCACTTCAAAAAATCATCTGAACCCGTATTTTAAGTACCCTAGGGTAGGTGCATTCAGGAGTAGGAGTAAGAGTAGGAGGTCAGGTAAAACGGTATTTTTTCTAAAAGTCAATAACTCCATCATTTTTTACCGAAGAAATGCCAGCAGCCTGATTGTTGAAATTTTTTGTTTGTCGGGGCGACATAGATGACATAGGTTAAAAAAAGGAGCGTGATTGGTCGGCTATGTCTTATCGCTGCTTTGTCGTGCCTTTGTCGGGTGGAATGAGCGACATACTGTCGGAATGATCGACATACTCTCGGAATGATCGACATACTGTCGGAAACTTAAGAGGTGCCGTTAGCTTGTCGAGAGGTCAACCCGACATAGGCACGACAAAGCAGCGATAAGACATAGCCGACCAATCACGCTCCGCCCTTTAACCTATGTCATCTATGTCGTCCCGACAAACAAACAATTTCAACAATCAGGCTGCAGAGGGCGTTTTGGGTGTGCCAGCAGGAGGCTGACAACAAGTCCCCGAACAGACCATTCAATGTTAGTCACTAATAGATAAAATACCTTAATTTAATTTTTTAACTGTAATCTAATGTATTTTAATACTAAGTATACAATTTGTATATGTTTGTACACAATAAATTGACTTGTTTAAGAATAAAAAAGAAGAAAAAATAAATTCCATTAGGAGGGGCTTTACCAAAAAAAAAAAAAAAAAAAAACGAAAAAAACGAAAAAAACGAAAAAGCCTTTTGTTAAGCTACTGATGAGTACTTTACGAAACCACACTTTTTTCGGTTCCGACAATTAGGACAGCCACTGTGACGTCATAACTGAACTTGTGCGGTATTTTTTTCAAAAATTGCACTCCCCATAACTCGAGAACCACGCATCTTAGAGGATTTTGGTGCGGAACTTTTCTGCTTGTTTTGAGCCAAACAACAACCCCTGAAAGTTTGTCACCTATTCCGGTTTCTCGACTTTGGGACCGTTTTTCGTGTAGACAGTCCAAGCTGAGAGAGAATGTCAAGTATCGAATCCTATCGAATTTTTTGCGTTCTCTCTGAATTTGTTACTGTTTTTGTTGCACTACAAACTGAAAATGCTCCCCAAACCCCCCAAAAAACCCTACCCCCCCAGAAAAAACCCCCCAAAAATCGTGAAAAACGCTCTGAATGGCACATTCAACGTGATATTTCACAATTTTCACTCGTTCCAATCGAAAGTACGCAAAAAATTACCTGGACACAGGTATCCCATGAATGATTGGCGAATCTTCCCGGAGGGTTAGGGAATTTTCATAATTAATTAAAGGATGGTTCCATTCAACAAAAGTCTATTTTTAACTATGAGCGCAATTTTTTCACACCGTAATTTTTTGCGTGTTTCATGTACTGATATGTAACTTTAATCTGTTGAATTTTGGTGATGTGGCAAAATTGCGCTGGGTGTAAATGAAGACTAATTAATCATGGAAAATGCAGTTTTTTCGGTTTTCTCAAGTTTAGAGCTGTTTTTCGTGTTGACATTTCAAGCTAAGAAAACGTCCAACCAATTTTATCTAACGGATTTTTTACGCTCTTTTTGAATCTACAATCGTTTTTGTTGTATCATTAACCATTTTCTAGTTACAGGTAAAAAATTTCCAAAAAAACCCAAAAATCGTTGAAAATGTCCAGAATGACCCACTAAAAGTGGGTTTAGCCAATTTTCGCCTGTTCCATTGAAAAGTACGCAAAAAATTACGTATATAAATCTCCCGTGTTCATGAAGCAAAGCTTTTCTGGGCTCCGTCATAAAATTAAAACCATTTTTCAGCCAAAATATTGAGTCGGCTGTTTTGGCAGGGAAACGATGCACAGTCGCAAAAACATTTTGCGCCAGAATGCACCTAACCTAGGGTACTTAAAATATAGATTCAGATGATTTTTTGAAGTGGGGCCAAAATCGGCCCTTATCGATACCACTCCTTTTTCAAATTTGTGGAAATTTTAAGGTCAAATAACTTTTTTACAGGCGAGAAAATTGATATTTTGCCTTCTGTGACGGAGCTGTAGAATTGGTTGGCCTTTAATTAGAACCAAAACCATTTTCGTGCGATAATAAATAAGCTCGTGAGAGCAACTTGAGAGTTGCGAACCCTGCGCCGCGGGACTGGTTTCGGCGTCCTATACGGCCGCCGCGCCGCGACCCTTCAATGTGCTGTATTTCGGTTGCTGTCCGATCGTTTTGAATCAATTTTTTTATGAGCAGATTTACTCATGAAGAATTAGCTCCTTAAACAATTTTGGCGTCAGCGTGATAATTTTTCAAAAATTTCCAGGGGAAACAAAAATTTGCAAATTTTCGAAAATGTTGGAGTTAGATAATGCCTAACAGGCGAATAAATATGAATGTTCCGTCATAATAAGTAGACGTAGGCTTGATTCAGGTTAAATTTGATACCCTAACCAAATTTTTATGATGAAAAACAAACCCACGAGAGTAATTTTTGTGAAAAGCGACGCGACGGTGCGTGCCATACGGCGCGTGACCCGTGTAGGGTCGTCAATTCCCTTCACTGCCGTGTAGTTCGGTTGCTACTGGATCCGAAAAGATCATTTCGATACCTACGTCGTATATTTGATAACATCATCATCCCTGCGTGATCAAAATTAAACCCATGACAGCAATTTCATTTCATTTATAAAATTTATCGCATTCCTACAGAATATCTCAATGGAACAAAAAAGGACACAAATATCCTCATAACGAGATTAGGTGATCCGTATTATCTGTTAGACACTTAATTCGAAAATGACCTTGATTTTTTCCCATCACCCTCCAATTTTCCGGGAAAATTTGCAATTTTTCTGGCATTTTTGGTATTTTCGTGACTGTTATACCCTGGAAAATGTACGTAATCGTAAAATTTTTCACAATTACAAGATACGTCCGTTCCGATGTATTTTGAGCCGCTGAATTCAAAAATGGCTTCTATACTTTTGTCTATCACCTCTCTGTTTTCTAGAAGAGCCACTTTTCTCGGAAAAATGCGAGGGTGTAAATGCTTTTTCGGACTGCGGTTCCCTTTTCCAGGGAAATTTAAAGAATTTCTCGCAAATACGTAATTTAAGCTGAAAATTTCGAACATGGAATCGATATAATATTTTAACTCTCACAATTTTTCTGAAAAAGCTGAGTATCGTTGTGAAAATAAGCACCTATTTTTGGGAATTTTCGATGTTTTCGTGACAGTTACTCCCTGCCTTATGTTTGTTAAATGTCTCGCAGACGTTTAAGATACATCTTCTGGATGTATTTTGAGTCGCTGAGCCCGAATGTGGCCTCCACTCTTTTCTATCAAACCCCCCCCCCCCCCCCC